GATAAGACAGGAGTGTACACCCCTCCTGCTATAAAATTGCAACATTATGTAACCCAACACTAGTTACCATGGTAACAGACACAACATTGGTTCAGGTCATTGAGGTCACTTTTTGGAGAAGAAGAAGAGGATGAAGAAACTGAGCAAAATCAATGTGTTCTCCTTTGCCAAACATAAACATAAAACAATGAAATTGATAAAGTACCCACGAAGATATGATCAACAAAAATTATGCTTTTTTTCATATGTATTAGGTAATTTAGATAAGGCATGTCGGGTTGCTGCAGTGTTCCCAGCGTTTCCTAGGGTTCGTTGTGTAGCACCACGGAGTGGACCCCGTACCGTGTGGATTGCGGCAGTAGTTCTCGGCCAGGTCAGGGTTAGTCCCCGGCCAGTAGTTGTGATGAAAGTGAGGATTGTGGGAATCCTATTGCTGGCAGGTCCTCCCACCTTTAGTGACGGAGAGGTTTCCACGGCAGTCAGACCCGTCAAGCTTTCCTGGGCAGAGCAAGCTCAAAGAGCGTCTCGTCCAGTCATTAAAAAACAGGTTTCAGGATCATTTTGCAACTTATGTACATGTACGAGTAGAACAGGCCATCCCGCCACACACTGTCAAATGCTGTTCATATCGACAATATATAGTTATATATATGGCAAGACTAGAAGCAAACGATAATAAAAGCAAGAGTAAATAGTAACCTGTTTCGTCCACAGTCATGCCGCATGGGGCTTCATCACGCGATTCTTCATCTGAACCAGCCGGATCTAAAGTGCAGGGGAGATTGTAATGAGACATACAATGAGACGATTTGATGCAATTTCTTGGCGGCAAAAAACAACTATCTTATATTCACAATTACCGCCATTTCTTAGCAAATTTTAGCATAATAAGCTGAGTAAAGCTTTCTTTAAGACGCGTGCTTCTTTGCTCTGTTGAAAGCTGATAGTAATTATAATGTAAATTTAATTTGTCTGCCTCTTAAAAACATTATAGAAACACCGACAGCGTCGGATTTAAGGTTACTACGTAATCCTCCTTATTTATAAAGCCTTCAGAGGTATTACAGGCGGTATAGCCGTCGGTTGCCTTGTGCGGTAAACATGTACGAGGAGGCACACCCTGTTCGGACCCGACCCGCGCGGTCCGGCAGGATAAAAACTGGCGGGCCGCCCTCTCAGGAGCCTCCCGCTCGCCCAGGTGGAACCAGAGGGCGTGTCTACCGCGATAAAGATGACTGCTTCAAGCGGGAAGAGAGGCAAGCTACCCCGGACAGCTTGTACGAAGAGCCCGAGGCGGTAAAAATGCAGAATCTGTCAGACGAGCCTGGAGAAACGGACACGTCTACGGGTAGCTTGAGCTTCTTAAAACTTGTTTTCTCTTAAGATCGCCTGAGATTTCGAAATGTACGAGATTTTAAAAGTGTACAAAATAATTGACAAATATGATGTAAAATAATATGAATAATGCAAATTCATTCCTATATCACATCTAATGTAGACATAAGCAAGATAAATCATGTAGAACTTTTTAACATTGACAAATATTACTGCATTTTAAATCTTGATTGTAAATTTTTATTGTATTGTGTTGGACTTTTCGAAAATAAAATTGGAAGAAACCATATCCTACATTTTTTTCTATATTGCTTGTATAGCTATGAGACTAAGAGTCTTAATCTAAATATCACCGTCCGTACAGTCTACTAAAGTTTGTTTTCTTAAGTCAGTTGTCTGTACCGGACCCAAGATACTTTCCAACGTATTCTGTGAAACTTGTTGTAACTAGCATCAAAACAACATTTATCCTATAGACCCGGCGTACCCGGATGGAGCGGCGACGGGTCGGCGTAATTTCTGTGACGTCATCCGCAAACATGTCTGCTACATAGCCGCCATCTTGGCGATATTGGGGATTCTAGGCACTGTTGGAGTACTTCTGTTGATATTCATCGATGTCAAGCCCGACTCATACGAAGAGGTACTAGTATTTTATTTTTAATTGTAAATTATATATTCTTAAAATATTTACAACATGTAACAAGAGTTCCGAGATCTCATACCTTCATGAAATATGGGCTTGACATGTTAAAAAATTATTCTCTAATTATGCAAATGACCTCTACATAAACATGTTGTTAACTTTTTATTAACTTACACATGTTCCAAGTATGAAATTTCCATCATTTACCACTAAGGTGTCATAGAATCTTGAGATAAATTATGCAAATTAGGTACGTACTTTTTATTTCTGATAATCGCAAAATTTTTATCTGAAAATATTTCATTCATTGGCAATTAAATACATTGAGGCATTTATTAGTCCATTTACCAAAAAAATATTCTTGACTAAAAAAAGTTTTGGAAATTGAATTCGTGGCTTTTATAGTGGTTCATTTCATGTGCGATGATCCAAATCCTCGTGGTATAAAGAGTTGGCGAATTACTTGTATTTTCAAATCACCGAGAGACAGGCCGGTTGTAAAAAAGGTGTCTACTGTGCTTCCGGCTTAAAAATGCACTCGTTATACTTAATATTTGACGGCTAAACTTTCTGAATTACACGTATTCGAAACTTCGTCCTTTCGTTACATAATGCAACTTTAATAAGGTTTCTGCTCTCACAGAGTTTATATTTGTAATCCATTGCCCACAACAATTTTTTTTTTACCGTAGAACCATTTTCTTGTTATGGCGAATGGTACACATATGGCAAATTTGAAAACAAAAACATGCAGTAAGTAATACAACAGACTAGACTAATTTCGCGGTTTCACACTTTGTTTGTTTTCATTGGGCTCACGAAAGCTTGTACCTTAATTGCGTTCTTTTGGTAGTTGTTTGCTATAGTGAGGTGACAACATGTATACTAATGCTGTATATCTCAAAAATTCACGATGAGGAATGCATTGTGTATTCCGAGAGAATATAGATATTTGCAATTTTGACATTTCTTGTCAAAAACGAAATTCCTTCTATGAGTTTGTCTGTACATATTTCACACGTTTTTACTGAGCTTGGAACATTTTGACTGAGTTTTCCTAGAAAGTTTATGGGTGGTGCAGCGGGGGCAAAACTGACCCCAATATTTTTAACCTGTGTTTTTTGTTGTCGTCAATTTTTCTCCAGGTAAATGTCTACTTGAGTTTTCTGCTGTCATTTTAATTACCTTAACATGTTGACTCTAGAACTAAAACAAAATGACCCTAGACCTAAATTTAGATGCCTATAGACTTAGGGTCAAAGGCCATCGGCATGACTGCCTGAAGGCATCTCCTTTCAGGTTCATAAATTATGATAATGAACATAATTATTATACCCAATTATGTCAAATTGTCCCGCAAAAACATACAGACTTCAAAATCACAAAAATATAGT